CGTACACCTCGTGGAGCCGTCGCCAGAATCGGCTGGTAAAGCGCGGGTCACGGTCAGATATGATGCTCGGAGGTAAGCCGTGGTCATGCACGACTCGGTCAAATACGATGTCGGCGACCTCACGTGCACTGATGCAATAGCGGCACGGAACAAGCGTGCACGCTTCGTGAAGCGGTCGACGACGACCAGGATAGCATCATGACCGCGGGGGGTCGAAGGTCGAGGAGGACCGATAAAGTCCATTGAGATGGACTGCCAACGACCCTCAGGAGAGAAAACCATAAGGGCGGTGGCTCGCACTGTTCATCTCCTGACAGGTGGGACACTCTGCGACGTAGTCCTTCACAAAGTCCTTGCGCTTCGGCCAGATGTACAGGCGGCTCACACGAGCCAACGTCTTGTGGAAGCCCATATGACCGGCCGTTGCCTAGTCATGGAACTCTTCTACCGCTCGGACACGTAGCTGTCCAGTGGAGGGAACGCAAATACGGGGCTCTCTGGTGCCCTGTGAATCGTGCCAATACACAAGACCGTTGTCTTTGAGAGAGTAGTTTGGGACGGTCTTGCCACTCCGAAGGGTCGCGTGGATGTCGCGATAGTCGGGGCAATGGCGGTACTGAGTGCAAAACTCGTCGATCACCAAGTGGTCGACGGTGGTGACCGAGATGGAAGAGAGCTGGATGTGCTCCTGGTCGTGGTCAGGACGCCGGGATAAGGCATCTGCGATCCGATTAGTCTCACCCTTGATGTGCTCAGTGGTGAAACTAAACTCGGATAGGTCGCGCCACCAGCGAGCCTGTCGAGGAGTGAGCTTCGGCTTYGTCAGAAAAGCCTGGACAACAGAGTTGTCCGTGCGCACCGTGAATGGTGCCCCGTGCAGGTAGTGACGCCAATGCCGAGCGGCATAAACTACTGCGAGAACCTCCCGTTCATCAGCAGTGTTGTTTATCTCGGCGGGCAGGAGCTGACGGGAGTAGAAGGCTATCGGACAATTACCTGAGCGAGACTCGACAGTGTCTTCCTCGGCGATGGTAGGAGAATAGTCAATAGAGGGTTCGTCAGTAGTTGGACGAGTAGGCGTCGATCGGGAAGCAATGCTAGGGGTAAGTGGTGGGAAGCGAAGGATACGAGGATGAGAGGAATCAGAAGAGGAGGGAAAGACCTGAGAAAGCACTGCTCCTACAACAAAGTCTGACGCATCGGTGGTAAGGATAAAAGGGCAATCAAAATCAGGTAGGTGAAGAACCGGTGCGCATGTCACCGCCTTCTTGAGGGCGCGGAAGGCGTCCTCATGGAGGGGTATCCAAGCCCAAGGTGGGTTCTTCCGGAGGAGGGTGGAGGTAAGGACGTAGGAATACCTAGCATATCCCCGGATGAAATTACTATAGTAGCTGGTTAGGCCTAGGAAGCTACGAAGCCACTTAGCGGATGTGGGAGTGGGCCACTCCGCAATAGCAGTGATCTTCGCGTCGTTCATGTGAAGACCCTGGTCAGCCACGTAGTGTCCTAAGAAATCCACTTTGTGCAGGGCAAAGCGGCATTTGTTCAGCTTGGCGTAAAAGCCATGTTTGCGCAAGCGGTCAAGGACGTTGCGGAGGTGTCTGAGGTGCTCCTCAAGGGTACGACTATAGACCAGGATATCGTCGAGGTAGACGAGAACGTACTGCTCCAGGATGTCCCTGAAGATGTCGTTCATCACCCTCTGGAAGATAGCGGGTGCGTTGGTGAGGCCGAATGGCATCACCGTGAACTCGTAGTGACCGAATCGCGATCGGAATGCGGTCTTCGACTGGTCGGCTGCAGCAACGCAGATCTAATGGTAACCGCTACGAAGATCAATCTTCGTAAAGAAGCGGTTGCCTGCTAGGCGGTCGAACAACTCATCGGAATGAGCCATGGGGTAGTTCTTAACCGTGTAGCGGTTGAGACTGTGGTAGTCGATGCAGAGACGAAGAGTTCCATCCGCTTTGCGAGCAAAGAGGACGGGTGCACCCCACGGTGAGTTGTTGGGCTTAATGAAACCCAGTCTTAGGAGCTCCTCAAGCTGACACTTGAGTTCGTTGGCCTCGGGGATCGAGAGTCTGTACGATGTCTGGTGGTGAACACGATAGTCACGCACATGCTGAATGGAGTGCTCGACGTCACGCGTCGGTGGGATGTCGGCGTACGAGAACGACGATGGGACAACGTTGTGGTACGCTCGAATGAGGTCACGAACTACAGGCTCCAGGTCAGCCGTATATCGTGTGAGTTCCTCAGCGTCAGCGCGCGACGGCGGAGTGGACTCGACGGACGACAGAGGAACGAAAGTACAGATGTGAGCCATAGAGACTCGGATAGATGGAGGATCTGACTCCAAAGGGATGAGCTCGGCGTCGGGACAGGGTGGATCATAGTGTAAGAGTTCCGTCACGTCCACCATAAAGAAGATGACTTTGTCCTGTCGGATGAAGTGGACGAACTGCCGAGGCGAGGTGACAGTGATGGAAGGATATGGTGTGGGCACGAAAGGCTCCGGGGGAGGAGGATCGGGGCGTAGTGTCGCAGTGGTACCTATGAAAGGTACGCGATACGTCTGTCCACACTTCGTTTTGAGAACGAGAGTGTTGGTCGCCCAATCGGCCTCGGTGCTGCGGAACCGACGCTGTCTCTTATACACATCTAGATGTGTATAAGAGACAACTGCCGAGGCGAGGTGACAGTGATGGAAGGATATGGTGTGGGCACGAAAGGCTCCGGGGGAGGAGGATCGGGGCGTAGTGTCGCAGTGGTACCTATGAAAGGTACGCGATACGTCTGTCCACACTTCGTTTTGAGAACGAGAGTGTTGGTCGCCCAATCGGCCTCGGTGCTGCGAAACCGACGAGACCACGGAGTGCCGAGAATGAAGTCGTACCCCGTCTCCATCACATCGAAATGTACAGAGGAGCGGTGGCGACGAGACGCCGGGGAACGATTAGTCGGCTCGAGAGTGAGGAAGAAGGGGAGGTCGGTGACCGTCTGATCGAAGAAGCGCTGGGTCTTGTCATCCCCTAGGGTAACGGAGATGGGAGTCGGAGACCCTGTCTTGGGTAAGCGGGCTTCCTTCACCACGCGTGGGTGAATGAAGTCGCCTTGAGAACCGGAATCCCACAGCGCTGAGTACACCCTCGTGGAGGTCCCGAGTCGTACGGGGATGATCGGGAGGGTGCGATCAGGTTCAGAGAGGATGGCGAGAAGGCGACACAGTGCAGCGACATGGAGGGTGAGTCGCTCCTGACGAGCCTGAAGCATGCTCAAGTCCAGAAGAGAGGGCACAACGTCCTCGCGAGTAGCAAGCTGCTCGCTGCAACGGGCTGAGCGAATGGCTCGACGCGTCGGTAGTCGCAACGGGGAAGGAGGGGAGACGGTGGTCTGCGGAGGCGCAGACGGTATTGCGACAGAGGGCGGAGTACACTCTGTTGAGTCCTGCGATACCTCAACGCCAATAGCGAGAGGGGCGAACCGCGACGGAGATGTCGAGAAGCCCACTACTGAGGAGGGCGCAGTTGTACACTGCATCGTGGCTAGGAGACGCCGCAGGGATGCAAGGCGTCGGCGGGGGACTGAGTACGACGCTGGCGGAAAAGGTCCGCGTAGTGGCGGTCAAGGGCGGTAGTGTAAGGGCACCGCGAGGAGTTACGACCGTCCTGACGGCATCGCAAACACCCACGTCGGCCCATAACAGCCGCGCGCTCCTCATTGGAAAGGACACCGCGAGGAGGAACAAAGCCCTTAGGGAGGTCCTGCTGAGGGACCTCGGGGGGCGACGGGCCAGCGTGACCAGGGCGGCTGCGTGCCCGGGAAATGGTGGAGAGGATGAGCTGGAGGCGCTCGACCATAGGGAGAGTAGGGTCCTCCAGGTGGTGGTGGACGACCTCGCCGAGGTCGAGGTCGGCGCTATGATCACCCTCTGGTTACAGCGGGGCACCAGCGTCCTGCTCACCATACTCGAACGCGCTGAAGCGGCACGAGAAGTGGCGGCCCTGCTGCGTGGAACGGCGGGGGCGACCGCGGAAAGGGGAACGGCGCTGGGAAGTGCCGTGAGAGGAGGCGGCGTAACCAGTACACAGGGGCTGGGAGGAGGAGGCGGGGTGAAGACGGGCCCGCATCCGCTGATGGTCCCTGGCGGCCTCGTAAGCCTGCGGGGTCGATGAAAACTCGCAGTGCCATAGCTCGGAGCGGTACTCGAGCGGAAGGGTGGCCAAGAAACGATCGATAAGGGCCGCCTCGGGGAGGAACGCCATGTCACAAATGAGGCGGGCGTCCTGAGTGACCTGGATGTGGCGATCCAAGCCGGCAGCGCCACCAGAGCTGGACCAGCGTGTAATGACGACACGCTCGAAGGCGTCAGTCACGTCATATCGGGCTCCGAAGCGATCCTCGAGGAACGCCTGGAAATCCATGAAGGTCGGAGTCCGACCCGCACGAACAAAGTAAGCGTAGAAATCCTCCCAGGCGTCGGAAGGACCGCCACGCAGGCGCGTGGAGAGGTGAGTCACCCACGTGTCGGGGGCGGCATCCATGAGCTGGAGTGTGCGGGTGGCAGACTGTAGCCACCTAGACACACGTATGCCTGTACCGTCATACAAGGAAATGTCCGTCAAGCGGACGCGTGGTGCGCCACCGTTTTGGCGTCGAGGGGATCGAGGAGCAGGGGACTCCGCTAGGGCAGAATAAGTCGGCTCAGGTCCTGGAGGAGGGAGCGTTGCTGACAGTATGCCCGGGCCGCATGGTGGAGCGGCGGGGGAAACAGCGGCAGGCTGCACGGGAGCTTCGATAGAAGAGGTCGCAGCAACCGAGGGGATGGGGAGGAAATAGGATGGGGATGGGTAGGGTGCAGGGCGAGGGAAGCGAGCCTGCATGGGAGGAAGAATAGAGGAAGAAGAGGGTGCGCCGGAAGGCGCGGCCACCTGTGAAGGTAGGGGTGGCTGAAGGTGTGTGAAGGCGAGGTCGGTCCGCAGCTAGGCGATCTCGTCCTCGAGACCTCGAACGTAGGTCGAGCGAGGTGTGGCAAGGGGAGACGTACGAGCGGCGCGAGGCATCCCACAAGGGGGAGAGCCAGATGGCGTTGCGGTCGTGCGAAGAGGAAGGAGAAGTGGGGCACCCGAAAAAACTGCGACTATGGTAGCGGGTTGTGGTACCGTGCCCGTAGTGACCGGGGTCTGGGCGGGTGCGGCCGTAGACTGAGGAAGGACCTGACTCGTGGCGGCCGTCGTGCTAGGGGTCTCGACGGTCGCCAAGATGGCCGGGTCAGGGGCCGCGGAGGAGAAAGCTCCGCCGTGGCCACCCTGTCGGAGGACGGGGGACCCGGACTGGGAGCCAGAAGATGGAGGACACGCAGCATCCTGGAGTTGCTGCACGCCGGTGGCAAGGGCCGCCACCTACGCCTGCAAGGGCGTGAGGGTCGCGAGTTGCGCCTGGATGGGCGCAAGGATCGTGAGTTGCGCCTGGATGGGCGCAAGGAGGGAGGTGAGGAGGGTGTGCAGATCCCCCGGGGCTGATGGCCCTGGTCCGCCAGCACGGGTGTGGGGCCCGATGTCGTGGTCATCGCCGTGTCGGCGGCGTGTGACACACCGTCTGCCATGGGGAGATGACGGACCGGACTGGAGGGGGCCAGAAGAGGTCCGCGTGAGCGGAGAGCGTAGGGGGAAGTCCGCGGTAGAAAGCGACGAACCGCGCTAGCAAGGCTAGCACGAGCGTCGTCGAAGGGGGAGGGGTGGTTCGGGTCCAGGGTTCCCGAAGAGGACGGGGAAGTAGGGGGGGTTTGAAAAACCCTAAACCCTACAAAAAACCCTAAGAAAACCCTAACCGAAGTTTAAGTGGTTAGGAGGGTAGGGTACCGGTGACCTAATCAAGGAAGTAAAATAGCAAGCATAGGGAGGGGAAGGCAGGAGAAAAAATAAATAAACAGCGAGATTT